TTGGGGGGGGGGGATGGCAGGGACCCGCCCAAAAGGATACAAATCGACACCCGTGATCAGGGGGCCCTTTGTCAACCTCGTCTCCCTCCCTTTCCAAGACGCTGGCTGCGCGCCTGATTTCATGACTGGCATGAACCGTGGGTATCAATAAGCAGTTTTCTAGTGGCTCTTTTAGGAACTTATTTGAATTGTTTATAGACATTATATTTTGGTAGATTGGGTGAAAGCAAGCCGATAGTGAAAGTAGATCACCCCACCTTTAGTTTGAGGAGAAAAGACCTCATATCTCTTCTCAGAAAAACCGTAAAATTTCAGTGACTTTTCTCTACTGGTGACTTTGCGACTCCAGATTTCGCTAATTCCTTGCACGGTGATATGGTAGCCCGGCAGCTGAGCGACAGTTACGAAGTGAGTCGCGTTGGTGTTGCGGCGTGATTTGCGGCGTGTGAGTGCCGTCGCGGCGCTGGTGGAAAGGTGTATGGTTATACTGCAATGCGATCTTTGTATTGGCGCTGCAGGGTGCCGATGATCCCGGTGATACAGTCTGCATGATTCATTCCAGCAAGGTATTTCATCTCCCGATTTTTGTTTCGTGTCTTGATCGATGCCTAAGAGTTCAGTGTGCTTGAATCACGTATAATATCGTGACCTGCGTTGGCTTTCACAAGCAAGTCTCCTGCTAGTGGGCGTGGCAAGGGTGTGCCAGGCATTACACAACTGTATGAGTTGGTCATAGAAGCCAAGGATCGTGGCCTTAACATCGTCTGAGGTCTGTAGGCGCCGTATGGCCATGCAGTCACATATGGTCATGTAGACGATGCGCCCTAAGACTCAATTAACCAACCACACAACCAACTTAGGGCTCAGATTTGCCTGGCGAAATGGGCTCTTATTGTGAACTTAGGGCTTCTGAAAAACTGATTTTAAGTTGTGTGTGTGGATTTGCCTGCATAAGTACTCCCAGGCTCATTCAGCATGTTTGCCATGCTAGTAGCACCATTCTGGTTGGCATATTAGTGAATCAGGAATGCGTGCAAATGTTTGTTGAATCAGGATGCAAAATGACTTCCAATGTTTGCTGCTGTACAACTCCAATCTTCCACAGAATGGGTGTATCTATGCTTGGATAGAGAACAGTAGAAAAGGGTCTTTGCAATTAAAGTAATGGAGGCATCTTTCAGTAATAAAATATGATATTAGGCTGCTTGCAGTATCCAGTATCAGTGTATTATGCCATAAGCACTGATGTAGGTCTTGGTGTGGATGCAAACATATACTATATACTACATAAATAGCTAAAATTTAATTGTACATAAAAGAGTCATGCTATGTTTGAGGATGTTGTGCAATGATCAGAATATGCACCATTAATAACCTTGAGGCTGCAACACTAGTCACAAACTAGAACCTATGCACACATAATAGTTTTTCATAATTTTCCTTAACACTCATTTCATTTATAGCTAGTAATCAGTATTGTACATACCACAGGTAGTATGCTGTGTTATGAAGGTCATTGATGTATTGGTGACTACGACTTACCAAGTGGAGGTAAAGCTACTGCTGATCTAATTCAGCATATAAAGGCACTTTTGTGTGCTTATTACTTGCTTAGATGCACACAGGTCAGATTGCTTCTTGTATTAATATTGTTACTTGCCACTCTATAAGCAATTTGTTTTATTGATTCCTACCCTGTTATTGGAGAATAATGCTGTAACTGATCCTGGTCTGGCATAACATAACTTTTTATTTATAACCTTTTGCAGTGTTCTTTCTGTCAAATTTATGGATTCCTCATAGGGTAACTCTATTGTTCATCCTGCACAGATCTGAGAATTGATCAGTTATCCCATAATTCTGACATCTTCAAGCAAATACATGAAATTCTGTTTATCTCTGTGTATAATTCAACTTTCCAATGCTATTGGATATCCAACTTTCCCCTTTTTGCACCCTCTGTTGAAGCCAGCAACCATAATCTGGAAGCACAAGCTTGAGAGGTATGTACCTTCAGTAAAGCATCCACAGCATTGTATTGAAGGCCTTATGGAAGTTGCAAGATGTCAGTTCTTTTGGATTTGTATAGAGATTGGAATGTTTCTTTAGACTTTCCTGTTTCAAGCTTTTAGACTTTTGTGCTTATTTAGGATAATGAGGAACAACATCTTGTAGTTGTTATGGCCAGTGTTTTGTAACATGTTCATTCATTCTGTACAAATACCACTTTTTAATGATAACACCTTTTGAGAAACAGTGTGATGAGAGCAAGCCTACATGAAGCATAATGGTGATTGCTAGGTGTTTCCTTGTGGGATAGCTCTGAAGCATAGTGAACCGCCTAAATATCTTGAGATATAGTATCAAATATATAAGAAGTGAAATATGAAAGACATCTACTGAAATTTGATAGCACTTATCATGCATTAATTTCAGAAATATATGTGCTTACGTGGCTTTTGATTGGTGGTAGTCGCTGCTCATCTTGTCTGTGTCAATTTGGTGATTGCATTATGGAATAAGCTAACCACATATGGTAGAAAAGTAGGTTGAATTCCCTTGCATGCAAACAACAAGTAATGCCGAAATACGTTGTTGATGGACAAAACTTGCAGACATATTCATCAGTGTTTAGTTTGTTACATTGTTTTTCAGGTGGGTCAGGGTGCATGTACAAACTATCAGTACCTGCTGTACTGAAGTCTTGTCTTCTGAACTGATACATTCTATATCATAGATAGATGCAATAACATCCTTGTATATTTAAAAGGTCTCTTGGGCATGAATTAGTTGTCATATGACTAAATTTTACAGTATATTGTGCAAGTTATATTTCCATATGTACAATTCTAGGTATTTCATAAGGCCTAGCTGCCTTATGTTTGAGAAGGGCACTTGCACTCTGTATTCCTGACTTGTCTGGAATCATCCACATGCCATGTCAGGTAGACTAGAAATATCATGGTGGGTGTTCTGTGCTTGATAAACAGGCAAATATGCTTTGAGTTATGGTGATAACAAGTACTCAGGCCTGATGATTGAATCACAAGGATGAAATGCTTCTAATTGCACCCAGACATGTAGAACCCTGTGACCTAAATTTTGTGTCAAACCTGAAATGCATGGCTACTTGCCTTGTTGTCAAACCCACATGTCATTAAGTTGGCATTCTCTGCTAATTGCCAGGTTCTTTGACAAAGGATATTTGGATCAGGGGATCTTCCCCAAGGGCATTGCATGCCCCCTGGTGAGGAGAGCAATCCCAATGATGCAGGCTTTAACCATGGCTGTGGTTGGCTGTGCCCAGGCACCAGAAGATGATGTTCCTGCCTCCTGGCCAGTCATCCTTGCAAAACAGAATGCAAAGCACAATTAACAGTTTCTTTGGTCTTGGTTCATCTTGTCATTGGTGGTGACAGGTTTTGTGAAAATGTGGTGTGTGGAACTTGGAAACATGGATGCTTTTGCTGAGTTTAAATTACATTCCAGTATAATTTTTCAGTGTCTTTCAAATATCTGTGATGATGCTTTGTCAGCTTGTCTTGTTCAGCTAGTGCTAAGAAAAAATAAAATGTATGCTGCTACCCTCAGTTGTGATGCAGGAAGCAATATGACAAATCAACATGCATATGTGGGAATGTGGCATGCTGTTTAAGGCTTAGATGTCTCAAATCACTATCTTTGTCATTTTGATGTCCCCAGTTTTATTACCTAGTGGTCTCTAGGCTAGTGCTTGCTTGCATGCCACAGTTTCACCACTGCAGATGGTGAATCTGTGCAGCATGGAACAGTGCCAAGATGTCATACATATCCAACAGAATCCACCAGACCACATAGAAGGGATAACTGACCATCCCATCTCATTTGTCTGAAGCCAGGTAGATAGAATGCATGATAACAAATGGAGTGCAGTTGGTACTGACCTGGTGCAGTTGATATGGCTAAGTTATTCCATGGTTTTCATGTGTTTTGAGATGCTGCTAAGCTTGTGCAGGCTGGGACAGAGTCACACCATCTCAATAATGGTATTTCTATTGTTTGCTTGGTGAGGCTCCCAAAACACAATTTATCCACATGACCACCCCTTCCCATCTGCCTTCTAGATAAGTACTGAGTGGGTTTGGCCCACAATTATATGGCTTGACCACAAGTTAAAAGGCTTGAAAGAGCCAGACATGATTATTGGTGCCTGTGAAATGATAGTGGCATTCGGTCTGTTTTTGCATGCTTGCTATCACTGGAATTGGTCAGTGGCTATGGGCAAGAACAGAAACCATCATATGCAATGTGGGCTACATCCAAGCATTCATGATGCAACTGTCAGTTAATATGTGTCAGACAGTGTTGTTTTTAGTATCATGTACACTATGCAGGATACATTGAAACTTACAATGCAATGAAACAATACAAACGCTGTGATAGACTCACCCCATTTAAAGGAGGATGGCCAAGGACCAAGCAAAGCTAAAAAGCTTGCCTTGAGTTTATCCCCTTGTTCACTATTGCCTGGCACTGATTTATGCTGATGTTTAGGGAAGCTCAGTTCTGGCAACTGTAGGGTAGCGCACTTTTCACGTGGTGCAACGAGTCGTCCTTGAAGGGCAGCAGCATCTGAGTCACTGGTCGCTAGCTTGGCCGCTTCTACCGAGGGGTGGAGCGTGACGTGTGGGCCGGTGCGCCTGACCAGGCCATACCAGGGTGGGGCTCCAGCAGCCTGGGTCACACGACCCCCGTCTGTCATCCGCCGCCGACCGACACTGACCTGCCCTGTGCTGTTGCAGCGGACGCGAGAGCCGCCAGCCGTCCCCGCCCCGCGCGCGCGGCCCGCCGGCGCCGCCTGCCCGGCCGCGGCCGATGCCCGTGCGCGCGCCGCCGGCGGCCACCACCCGCCGCTAGCGACGCGCCGCGCTGCCGCGGTGTGACCCCAGCCGGCGCCCAAGGTGTCCCACTTCGGCATCGCCGCGTCCCGATACTTTAGTGCCAGTGCCCAGTCGCGGAGCATGCAGAAGCGCGAGGGCAAGGAGCGGTCGGGCGCCGACGCGGCCCGGCACGCGGCCGCCCGGCCTAGTGCCACCAACCGGGACCAACGTGCACAGCACGGGCTCGCGCCAGGCCGGCCCCGGCTCGGCTCGGCCGCCTCGGTGCGTGCTCATGGTCGGCCCAATTTCCGCGTGGGCAAGAAGATCGGGTGCGGCAACTTCGGCGAGCTCCGGCTCGGCAAGAACATCTACAACAACGAGCATGTCGCCATCAAACTGGTGAGCCCAGCTCGGTCGGCGGTGGGGCGGGCGCCTGCGGTGAGGCGGGCACCTGCGGTGTGGCGGGCGCCTGCGGTGAGGCGGGCGCCTGCGGTGAGGCGGGCGCCTACGATGAGGCGGGCGTCTGCGGTGGGGCGGGCGCCTACGGTGAGGCGGGCGCCTACGGGTGAGACGGGCGCCTGCGGTGGGGCGGGCGCCTACGGTGAGGCGGGCGCCTGCGGTGGGGCGGGCGCCTACGGTGAGGCGGGCGTCTGCGGTGAGGCGGGCGCCTTACGGTGAGGCGGGCGCCTACGGTGAGACGGGCGCCTGCGGTGGGGCGGGCGCCTACGGTGGGGTGGGTTTTGTTACCCACCCTTTACACGTACTAGCATTGTGTTCAGCAGTTGGGCGCCGGGCCCAGCCAATTTCGGGCATGGCACCGTAACTCATTTCAATTTGGATTCATTTGGCTCGCTAGTTTGTGTCGTTTTTGGAGGGCTGGAAATAATGCCAAGATGATAGCAAATGTGGATGCAATTGCAGCAACGGCCAACAGCTTTGCCCGCCATGTTGACGTAACTACACATACTGTTGTGTATCGAACGACAGCTGCGTTCCAGCTGCGTTCCAGCTGCGTTCTGAAATGGCTGGCGTTAATTGCAGCGTACTGTTAGCGCGGCCCCTTCGGCCCGTTACCTTCCTCTATATATTTGCGACACCAGACGTATTGGCTAGAATCGTTCGCTTAGGCGCCAGTTCAGCATGTGCCTGTTGGGGTGGCCGGAGTGTGCGGACCGAGGCGTGACTCGGTCGGTGGCCGGGTGCGGACCGAGGCTGACTCGGTCGGTGGCCGGAGTGTGCGGACGAGGCGTGACTCGTGGTGGCTGGAGTGTGCGGACCGAGGCGTGACTCGGTCGGTGGCCGGAGTGTGCGGACCGAGGCGTGACTCGGTCGGTGGCCGGAGTGTGCGGACCGAGGCGTGACTCGGTCGGTGGCCGGAGTGTGCGGACCGAGGCGTGACTCGGTCGGTGGCCGGAGTGTGCGGACCGAGGCGTGACTCGGTCGGTGGCCGGAGTGTGCGGACCGAGGCGTGACTCGGTCGGTGGCCGGAGTGTGCGGACCGAGGCGTGACTCGGTCGGTGGCCGAGGTGTGCGGACCGAGGCGTGACTCGGTCGGTGGCCGGAGTGTGCGGACCGAGGCGTGACTCGGTCGGTGGCCGGCTGGCCGTCGTAGCCAGCTCAGCGGTGTTGGGCGGGCCGCAGCAGCTCGGCCTCGGCGGCCCGGTCGTGACGCGCGCCGCTGCCGGCCGCTGACCCCGGCCGGCGTGGGGTGCTCTTGTTTAAACACGGCTCACCGACAGCGCTCAGCTGTCTGCTGTGTCTGGCGAGCCGTCTGCCTCCATGAACCCTGTCCGCTATGTCCGGCGAGCCGTCTGCTCCATGAACCCTGCTCGCTACTGTACGGCGAGCCGTCTGCTCCATAGACCTCTGTCTGCTATGTCTGGCGGGCCGTGCCCTGTATTTGGACTGCTGGCCGTGTCCCGGCCGACACGGGAAGCCGCCGCTGATGCCGCCGGCCTGTCTTGCAGGAGCCGATGAAGTCGAAAGCTCCCACAGCTCCACCTGGAGTACAGGTTTTACCGGCAGCTGGGCAGCCACGGTAAGTGAACTGATGCCGGTGCCCCTGCCGTGCTGTTATCGGGTGATATGCTGGGTAAATGCTGCCGCTGGCCGGTCGATGAGTGCGCGGGGAGGTTCGGATGGCCCGATCCCGCCGGGAGGTACGGGTCGGTGGGTGGGTGTGGTGGGACAGAGTGGTCGGCAGGGGAGGTGTACAGAGTGGCCGGCTGCGGAGTGGGCCAGATGGTGTTGGCCGGCGGACGACCGATCGGCGGGCGATCGCGCGGGGAGGGCCGATCGGGCCGGCCGGAGAGCGAGCGTCCGAGACGGGCCTGCTCGGCGTGTGGCATACGGCGTCTGCCGGCCGGGATTGAGCTGTGCCGCCCTGGCGGCTGGGCTCGGGCGGCGCTCACCGTCGGCCCGGCCACCGCCGCCGCCGTCAGCGGAGCGCGGCGCCGCTATGTCGGGAATGCCAACGGCGCTGCCAGCGCGCGGCGCGGCCAGTCGCCGACACCCCGTGGCGTCGTCCGTCACCCGCTGCGAGAACAAGGCCCGCCGCTCCCGGCCGGCGGAGCGGGCGCATCAGGCGGCCCGGCGCATCTTCCGCCGGCGCCGGGATCTCGCGCCCGGCCGGCGGGTTGGACGCCTGTCCTCAGGCTTATGTCGGCAGAGAGCGCCGCGCCTCACCAACGACGTGGGCGCCGCCGGCCGGCCAGTGCCGCCGTCCCGAGAGGCTGCCCGGCCGGACGTTCACGGTGCACAGACACGCTGTATGTATGCGCCCTACTGCACGTGACCCAGCAGGCTTTCAATTATCATCGTCGTTGCGCAGACGGGCTGGTTGCCTCTGTCTCTCGGCGATAAGGTGCTTTGTGTCCTAGCGGCTGCTGTTCGCCCAGCTCGCGGCGGCGGTCGCACCCTCGCCTGCCGTCCTGGACTGAGCCCGTCCTCGTGGGAGCCCTCTGCTGCGGCTGGCGGCGCCGGAGGGCGTGGTCGGCCGACACGCCGCGCGGTATCAGGGGCGCGCGGCGCGGCCCGGCTGGTCGCCAGGCTACGTGACGTCACCGCGGCGTGGGAACAGCCCTGGTCACGTGACGCTGTCATGGTGTGCGTATTATGCGGCGTGGCAACCGCTGGCTTCGGGGCGTGCGGTGCACTGTGAACGTTAATGTTCCTCAGCGAAAACCACAGTGTGGTAAACGTGGCTGCCCCTCTTTGCTCCGCTCTGTCTCCGTTGTCTCCGTGCCATTCGCTGTTGTCGTTTTCGCTCCTTGGTCTCCTTACCATCGTCGCTTTATGCGTGTGTCCGTGTCGCCCGACTTTCGCCCGACTCGCCCTCCTTTTCGTACCCGTTCTCACAGATCCTTTTCCTTTCGTCCTTTGCCCTTGAACGCCTGTCCAGCTCACTGGTCCCACTGCAGCCCCGCCAAAGGCGACCGACTGGGGCCGAGCCACCGGCAATCGGCGCCGCGTGCCGACGGCCGCCTCGGCCACCAAGCGTCCGTCGGCGTGCTGGCGCCAGTGGCCGGGCGGGACCGATGGCATTTTCCGCTGATCACTCGGCCGAACGTGGCCGGCGCCATCGCCCGGACTCGGTTCAAGGAGCGTCTGTGGCCGTCCGGGTCCGGTGCTCGGTAGGCTGGCGGCGGCTGCCGGCCCCCGGCTCCCAGCACGTGGCGGGTGTCTGCGGCCGGGGCTTCGGCGGCCCCAGCCGGCGGCCGGCGTTGGGTGGACGTGTCCAATCGTGTCGTGCGGACGCAGTGGCGTGTCCGTGCCCGGCGGCTCGCGGGTCTGGTGAGAGCAGGCCGGTTTGCTCAAGCCTGGGGTCGGGTTCAGACTGCACACTCTTGGGAGTCCTTCGGTAGGGATGCCTAATGCTCCAGGAGCGTGTGTGGAAAGGTTGCATCAGAAAGACTGCAGTCCTGTCTTTGGCTTTGCTACCAAGCGTTCGTAACCCCACATTTCTTGGCAAATGAACATTAACCACCGCATATTTTGCTGTTTCCCACGCGGAAACTGGTGTGGGAGGTAACCTTGTCATATCAGTTAGGGGAAACCTGCGATCATTTTAGCTAACCTTGCACGTCAGTTAATAGCCCTCGAGTCAAACGCACGCATACCGGCTTCGAATCGACCACAACCTTCAAAAATGCGGATGTAAACCGAAACGGCTATTGATAGCGTTGGCGGGTGCCGACCTTCGCTCCGGGAACTGACGACGCAAGCCGTTCGGCGGCCGCTCCGGGAATGCCCTCCCGCGCTGTTCACCGTTCAGAGGCGGCAGCAGCTAGAAAACTCCCCATACCCGCTTCGGATCTCGCTGGCCGTCTCCCTGTATCTCCAGGCTTCGCTGGCCGTCTCCCGACGTCCTCTGGCCTAGCTGTCTGTCTCCTGGTAAGTTCAGGCCTAGCTGGCCATCTCCCGGTGCCCCCAGGCTCGGCTGGCCGTCTCCCGGTGCCCCCGGGCTCGGCCGGCCGTCTCCCGTTGTCTCCAGGCCCTTGCTGGCCGTCTCCCGGTGTCACCAGGCTCTGCTGGCCATCTCCCGGTGCCCCCAGGCTCGGCCGGCCGTCTCCCGTTGTCTCCAGGCCTTGCTGTCTGTCTCCCGGTGTCACCAGGCTCTGCTGGCCGTCTCCCGGTGTAATTCAGGCCCTGCTGGCCGTCTCGCGGTGTCCTCAGGTCTTGCTTGGCCGTCTGGCGGTGTCCCCAGGCTCTGCTGGACGTTTCTCCGGTGTCCCGAGGTCTTGCTGGCCGTCTGTCGTTATCTCCGGGCGGCGGTCAACTGCGGCTCTGAGTCAGCCCAGCTGACGTGCGGCGGCGGTGATCTTGTGTCGTCCGCAAAACCTCGCGCGGCACTTCCGGCCGGCCCGGCGCGCTGTCCCGTCCCGCCCGCGTGGTCGTTATTTCTGTGCGTCCGACGAGCACTGGGCTAGGGGCCAGGTGGGCGCCGCTGGCGGCCGCGTGGTGCCGGCGGCAGCGCTGCGTCACCGGTGCCGCCGTGTCACTGCCGGCCCACGCCCGCCGACCGGCGCGCCCGGAACGCCGGCTGTTTGGGGCGGGAGCCCCTCCCCCCAGCGCGGCGTGGCGGTTCCCGGTGTTTGGCGGCCAGCGGTGTATCCAGAAGCGGTCCGCGCGTTGGCCGCCAGTTCGGCGAACGCGGCGGGACGACGTGGCGCACCCGCGGCGGCGGCGGCGTCGGCGCTCGTGATCAATAGTCCATGAAGCCGGCGGCGGTAGGCCGGCGAGCTGACGTCACTGCCCGGCGCGTGAATTGCTCGACCGCGGTAGTGCGCCGCACCGGCCCAACTACGGATGGGGTGCCGCTCGGTCGGCCGGCGCCGCCGACGGCCGGGCGCGATGCCGCGCGGGGTCCCATTCGGCCCGCAGGTGTTGCGTGCGGTCTTCCCCCGGCGGGCGGTGACGTCGGCTGCCTTGCCGTCTGGAACTGGCGCGTGGTTTTCTGACGTCGGTCCCGCGCCTACGCTCTGGCCGCCTCGCGGCACCCAGGATGAGCTCGTCCATCGCTCAGATCAAGTCGGGCTGTCGGTGATGCACGTATATCTGTGATCGCTGGCCAGCAATCCTAATTATTTGTTTTGATCGGTCTCGGCGTTTTTGGCCGATGCTCAGCTTCATGCTCAGTCATTGCGTTGCTGGGGCGCTGTTCAGTCGTGATTGTCTGCAGTCTGTTTTCCATGACTGTGCCCACCACCGTACCTGACGCGGTGGACGACCGCCATGCGAGGTCTGGTTGACAAACCGGCTGGCGGCCCCGCTTTAGACAGATTGGGCGCGGTGCGGCCGCTTTCAGCCGCTTTATCGGGTAGAGATCACTGCTGTGATGAGCCTCAGCCATTAGTGACATGTTGTCATCGGTATCGATACAGCATTTTGCGCGGCGTCGTCTGTTTTGCTCGGCGGTTCATCTGGAGCTCCAGTTTGGCGGCGGCTGGGCCATTGCCCGCGGTCATTGGTAGACGGCGGGGCACGCACCAGCCGGCCCGGACGCGGTCGGCGGTCGCGGTCCTCCGTGCTTCCCTTGCCGACTCCCTGCCTCCCCATTTTCCGCCCTCACCGCCCTCCCCTTATCGTCTTCTGATTGCCGCCTGCCAGTCTCGCCGCTGCCTCCCTCGCCATCTTCCCCTCGCCACTTCCCTCTCTCGTTCCGCCTCCCTCGCTGACTTCCTCCCTCGCCTCCCTCGCCCGCTAGCTTCCTCCCTCGCCCTCCCCCCGCCTCCCTCGCCTACCTCTCTCACTGCCTGCCTCCTTGGCTGTTGGCTTGGACGCGAGGTCGCCCAGCTGGCGGCGGAGGAGTGATGATTATGTGGACTTGGTTCACTTGGTCATTTGTCTTTTAATCGCTCTCCTGGACAAACTCAACCCCCGGCCACACCCGGCCGTCCATTTCTCCAGTCTGCAGCCACTGCGGCCCGCACAAGCGACCTCAGCCAGGTCACGTGGTCAATGCCCGTAGGCATAAATACAGCCGGCCGCGCTGGTTAACCGCTGACTGGGCTGACTGAAAGCCGGCCCCGGAACCCATTATCAATAGCGTACTACAGCTGATTATGCTGTAAACAATGCGTTGGACAAGAAGTATTATATTTCTCGGAATATTTTTCAGTCGACCAGCATTTGCAGGCCCGGCGAGATAACCCACATGCTGTGGCGTGTGAGACCGCAATATCAACAACGCGCAACGTGGTCCGCAGCAAGCATTTATCTTGCGCCATTTTGTATGTGTTCCTGGGAAGGAAATGCCTGCACGTCAAGGTCGATAATCATAGGCCGTTGCGTCAGACCGCGTTGTTCAGAAGCATGCACTCCTATATATGCGCTGACAGTGAGCTGTAGCTGCGATCATAATGTTACGCCTCAAGCTGCGCACGACTCGAAAATGGGAGTCGCCCGGCTGACCGGGGTACATTCACTGCTACTGGCTCCGACACATTCGTTTGCCAGCTGGCTCGCACCATTGCCCGGCGGTGTCCTATTCCACCCCGGCATGGCGGAACCACCGGCCGGCGAGACGGCGGTGGTTAG